GGTGGTGGTGGTGGTGGTGGTGGTGATGGTGGTGATGGTGGTGATTTTGGTGATGATGATGGTCATGATGGTGATGACGATGATGATGATGATGATGGTCATGGTGGTGGTGATGATGGTGGTGGTGATGGTGATGATGATGGTGGTGATGATGAGATGGTCATGGTGGTGGTGATGATGGTGGTGGTGATGTTGGTGATGACGGTGGTGATTATGTTGATGATGATGGTCATGGTGGTGGTGAGGATGGTGGTGGTGATGGTGGTGGTGGTAATGATGATGGTCATGGTGATGATGGTCATGGTGGTGGTGATGATGGTGGTGGTGATGGTGATGATGGTGATGATGGTCAGGGTGGTGGTGGTGGTGGTGGTGGTGATGGTGGTGATGGTGGTGATTTTGGTGATGATGATGGTCATGATGGTGATGACGATGATGATGATGATGATGGTCATGGTGGTGATGGTGGTGGTGGTAGTGGTGATGATGGTCATGGTGACGATGGTCATGGTGGTGGTGATGGTGGTGGTGATGATGATGATGGTGGTGGTGATGATGGTGATAATTATGATGATGATGATGATGATCATGGTGATGATGGTTATGGTGGTGGTGATGGTGGTAGTGATGTTGGTGATGGTGATATTGGTGATGATGGTGATGATGATGATCATGGTGATGATGGTCATGGTGGTGGTGATGGTGGTGGTGGTGATGTTGGTGATGATGATGGTGATGGTGGTGATGATGATGATGATGATGATGATACTGATGATGGTAGTGCTGGTTATGATGGTGGTGATGGTGATGGTGGTAATAATGATAGTGGTGGTGCTGGTGATGCTGATGATGCTCATGCTTATGGTGATGGTGGGCATGATGATGGTGGTGGTGATGGTGATGATGGTGACAGTGATGGGAATAATGATTGCTATCCTTGTGACGATTTGCTATCGCCAGTTTGCTGCAACATTTACTGCTCCATTCTGGGGTCATTTGATGAGGTCATTAGATGAGGTCGCACATCCTCATCCCTGACCTTGGTGCTCTTTGCAGAGGCATAGATGGCACTAGCTAGGAACTGCTTGGGATGGAAAATCACCTGGCTCACGTTCACCGAGGCAT